AAACATTCAATTAAAAGTATAGAAGATCAAATAGGTTTCTGTGTGGATTAGAGAGGTTACAGACTTTAAGTCATAGTGTCACCAAATTGTTTCGGGTTTTAGGAAAATAGTAAACTTATCAAGAATTACCAACGGTGGCTTCAAATGAACGTCCATCAACAAAGTTGGATCACTGAAACCATGCGTTTGAAGTTAATGAATTTCGCATTGCTACTGTACTGTGTCAAATCAGTTCCAGATTTACAGGTAACATTGATGTACATAAACCTGTAAGCATGAAAAATTATTAGGGATAAAGCGTCAAAATGAATTATATACATAACACAATAAATATTGTGGGTAAAGAAGAAACCCAACGGGTCGAAATAAGCCACGCTAATGTAGGAACCTTAAAAGTGTCAAGTTTTACGGTTGCACAGATGCAATAACCAGGTCAGCACAATTCTAATTTTCCCATTCAAAGCAAATCCTTTCTCGTGTTGTGACATAGTTTTCAACGCTCTCAGCGTTTCAACGAATTGAGTTCAGGTAATAAAGAAAAAATTAAAACAATGGACTAAAAAATTTAATCAGCTTTCTTTATCTTGGTTTGATGCAAGCATTTTCAAAGCTCCTAATTATTTCTTTAATCTAATCCCATTTTTACGTATTAAAGCTCTTTCTACGGGCAACGCTTGTGGGATACGTTATCGCTGTGTGCGTCATCGTATGCCTGCATGTCTGATCGCCAGGATTGGGAGGTGTGGCCGTACGACTCTGTGTGCAGCGACCATACAAACAGTGACCAATCATTAACCTCTGTTTAACCTAATCCCCATCCTGATCATGAGTAGCTCCCTGCGCGTACACTTGATCCGCAATATACTTCCTGAATAAACGTGTTCTGTACTACACGTCTGTTTCCTTTATAGCTGGGCTATAGCTTAGCTGGTTCTGGGAGTCTAGCTAGATGTTGGAGAATCTGTCATAGAGATTTCTGAGTCAGTCAGGCTTTAATAAAGTAGCAACCCGCTACACGCTTGATGTTATTAGATACCAAAAACTAGTTCAGATGGCACCCTTCTACTATTTGCTAGGCGAATATTTCCACCTTTTATTGACATGCGCGAGATTAGTAGAACAGTGCGTCTCTGATAGGAACAGCTTCGTCTAACTGACGTGAAGAAAGAAATGAAGTGGAAATTTAATTTAAAAAATGTATACCTTTAAGGGCGAAAGGGACAGTATTTAAAACTCGTTGATATAAGTGCTTTAAAAGGTTTGTTCAAGGACATTTAAATTTACAAATGAATGGGCAATCATTTTGAGATTTTCGATTTCAACCGACTTTCCTGTTAATCAATCGTTTTCGTGATTCCGACCTCCAAATGCTATTGCCAATGAAGGACTCCAAATGTTATTTTTTCAAACTGAACTGAGATTAGTTCGAAGGTGACTCCCATGCGTTTCCTAAACTTATTCTTTATTCACTTTCCCTTTGAAAATACTTTGATTTTCCCCTTATCTGCCTTGTTCAGACGTTTCCATCGCTCCTCCTTTTTCAAACCCTCATGATTCATTTAAAAATAACTACAAATTATGCCTTACTCTTGTACACGATTGTTATTTATGAGCCCGTTCGCTTCTACCTCATTTCCTCTCCCCTTTATCTTTCTATTTTACTCTCTCGAACTCTCGTTACGATTTATTCAATCCCCTTTGGTTAACAAAGTTCTTTATGTCCAATTTCGGGAATTTTGCTAGAAGTTACTTACGGCGTTGAAAATGGAAACCTTTTTGGACAAGTGGAACCTTGAACTGAATTTTTACGGCGGTTCAAAAGCACTAGCTTTGTTTCATAGTCTCCCCATTCCAGTCAGTATCTTTTCTGGCATTGACATTTAGCAAGTGCACCGAACTTGCCAAACATGGACATCTGTACATCCCAATATCCATGTTGGGTAGGAAAAAGTTAGGTTATTATTTTACGTTTGCTTTGGGTGTTCGGGTTACGGTTGTCTTCTGTGGTATTTAAATCAAATTGCAACAAGGAACATCTGAAATGTTGGGCATATGGCTGCAAACAACCGAATGTCTTGGATGTCCCAGTTTATTACCCATAAACTTAGCTGTTTTTAATCGATCAATAAGCCCTGTATGCACTCCATCCTCCCTCTCTCCATCTTATCCTTCAGAAGGAGGAAATTATTAGTCAATTTAAACAAGTTATTTGGGTATTACAATTCCACCAACGTTTACTTGTTTTTTATCGGAGAAATCGACTTACTTGGAAGGCTAAATTCTAGTACTTTTCATCGTGCGAGAGTAGCTCAAAATGGACAAAAACAAAGTCACAAAAGGGTGGAACAGCTTTTAGGAATAATGGCACAATACCCTAAAAGAATGGGAGCTCATTTAACTTTGGAATTGTGCAATATGTACTTTGACCTGCCAGTTTTCGTGTTTTCGTAGTAAATTGCTAGGAAAATTCCTCTCCAAGACGCACAATGCCTATTGAGTAAGTAGGATGGTCTGTCTTATCTATTCGAACTCATCTTTCTCATGAAGTCCTAGAAGGCAGGATGATCTTCCATGAACTGAACATTTGTAATAAAAATATGCTCTAACAGAACGCTTACAACTATTTAATTCACAGTATTACACTAAACAATCGTAAACTACTTTGACTAAAAGTCAACAATGAACTATTCTTAATGAATGTGAATATGTATTGGTGGTTCTTTATGTTTCTGGCGTATGAAGAATAATTGGACTCAAGCAAAAATGATAAAATTAGTTGAAATAAGGTAAGTAAATTCGTTCGGCGAATCCTTACCACCAAGAGCTACTTAGCACTTTACATCTTCATTAAGGTAGTGTGGGGGTGCTGACGTTTACCTTAGGTGTCAAGAAGGCAGCTTGGAGCCGCCCTTTTGGAAAACTTCCATTCGCTAGTCCTCGAACTGACCACATTAGCCAATGCAGTCTCGTGACATTTGACTTGGTAAGTTGACCACAGCACCTCGGACATGTTCATGAATCTTCACTGACTAGATGCAGGATTTGACTCATATATTTACTTTTAAACGGGGATGTGCGATAGACTAACCTCCACGTGGTGCACTCTGGGCAACGTATACACATACGGCAAAAAAGTCTATTAATTGGTAGTTGACTTCTCACTTGAAATTACCATCACCTCACTCTATGCCATATTCGAATATTTCACAGTACTCACCTCACCATTTTTTCTACCTTTGTGTTTGTCTCTTACATCTTTGAAACACTCTTCCGCTCCCCCCCCTGTCGACTTTTTCAATTTGATGTTTTTTCCCCTCTGTGAAGCCTGAAGTCAACTAAAGGGCTAATGGTAACCATCAAGACGCCTGCCATTTGATATAAATAAATAACCTTTAAACTTAGTAACGGTGAAAGCCGCTTAATGCCTCGTAAGAGTATTTTATTCTTCTCGGCCCCTAAAGAATGATTTGAAGTGAAATGGCAATAACAGCAATAACATCCGGTCCATAAGAAAGAACAGTGGGGAGATGAACTTTCTTTGTCTTAGAGGACGAAATTCAATTTTGAGACTTTAACTACTCATTTAGTGAGTAGCATACAACACCCGAATCCGAAAATCCAAATGACCCAGAACCCTTCCATATACTGTCTTCGCTGCACAGACGTTCTGTCATTTGATTATAGTTTCAAATTGTTTCCTTCATATTGACGAAGATGAAAAGCGCATCCATGGGCTTAGAGTAAGGAAAACATTTGAGAGATTGCAAAGAGGAATTGCCTCATAGGATCGAACATTTCGCTATCTTCTCTACATTGTGTTCTTTTGAACGTGGATTTGAGGAATCACGAATGAAGTCTGGTGACATTCGCAATGATTACCACCATTGACCATTATAAGTCTGGAAGCAACCGCAAGTCTGGTTGTGCAAAAGCCATACTCAAACACCTAGAAAAAGTTATACCCTTGTTGAAAGGCAATAAAACCGAAGCCACATAATGGCTGCCATTTTCTACAATTGATCCTACATAGAAGTTACCGAGAGTACATTGACTACTAAAAAGCCCCATATATTGAGGTGACATTGGTGCAGTTCCGCAATAACCTAACCTCGCACAATTCCACATGATGATCTGCTTTTAAAAACAGCCTGTAAAGTGGACAATAATCGCGAACTGTAGAGGCACGAAATTCGATATTCAATGTTTTCAACCCACCTAACTTGCCCCAAATTAATAACTAAAACACCCCAAACCAGGACGAAATATTAATCGTAATTAAAGCATTAGAAAAATTGCTATTCTTCAAGAATTATACTTTTATACTTCAATTACCCGATGATTTTTTTTATTAAAAGGAGTAAGAGACACTACGAAAAGAACTAAGATGGTCTCCAATAATCCCATAACTTCAAATTAAAGACAGCTGCATATGTGTTAGGATTATCACCAGTAGAATTATCAACCAGACAATTTCAATTTAACTTTTTCAATACCAACCGAACAACGGGAGAAACAAAGGCAAGATTGGTACCTCCAAGAGATTGATTTTTAGTAATAGAAGAGGAAAAGAGTGGAGTTGTGTAAGGGGAGACAAAATAGGTCACCGAGAAGGAGATACCACGTGTTTGAAGAGAAATATGAAGAGGGATAGGGATTAATAAGGGCTTTAATAAAGCACATAATCACATACACAAATTACAACTGTTATTTTGTTTAAACCAATGTGATGAAATGTCAAATGCGCAGTTGCACAAAATTCGAATTCGGCGTGTATGTATGAGTGTGGTGATAGGGGAGAATGAAAAGGTGAACAGATACATTGACGGTGATTAGATGAATAGAATCTGGAGATTGTGGAAGGGACAACAAGATGAAGGGGGATACTGAGTCATTTCATCGGTTCAAGAGGAGAACATATGCTACACAGAGAAAGATAGAGGAGAAAGCGGGGGAATTAACGAAGATAGCATTGGTTGTTTTGAAGGAACACTAAAATTTATTTATTCGTAGGCGTCGTAAGGATAAACAGATACGGTTTGGTAAGTTGAATTGCTGGCAGGCCCGTGTCGATGACTAAAACCATAACCCGATCCGTCGTCTCCTTTTGAATGAGGTCGATCTATAATAATAAACAAAACGCTAGCTTACTTAAGTGAAAATGGAGGGTAAATAGTACGGCGATCAAAGTAAGGAAGTTAGGTGGCTGAATTACAAACCAAACGCGGTTAAATTCTGATCGAAAGAAACAGAGAGCGGGAGGGGGG